ACATCCACTTCATATTTTTGAAATTCTCATTTTTTAGATTTCCCACCAGCCTGTCCAGCCCGGCCGCCATGAATTTGAAAGAGTCGATGAATCTGATTTCTCTTTTAATTTCAAATGTTTTACCATCTTTTTCGAACTCACCTATTTTTATTAATTTATTGAATGAGATGTATTTCTCTTCGTTATTTGGAATGCAATTTATTGGTCCATCAGATACGCCTAGATTTTTTATGAATAAATGGGCGTCGTAACCGGCGAGATTATGGAATATAACTGGGATATGCTTTGGAATTCTATAATTTAAATTACAGGCATTATGGGCCGCGCCTCTATACTTGCCAGTTAAGTGGCAGTGATCTAAAACTTTATCTTCTTTTAGATCACCTTCGCAAATGTGACAATTTTTTGAATTTTTGTAATTTTCTTTATCCGCGGTGGTCATTTTGACCTTTTTATACCAAATATTGGAATATAGTTTCTTAACTGTTTTTTCGATTGAATTTACAAATTTTTGACCGACGTCTTCATCTCTTTTGCAAGTGTATGAGATCATTTTGGGCTCGTAGATGTCATTGATGGTTTTTAAATAATAACAGAATCCWGATGGTTTGTGATATTGAAATTTTTCGGTATATGAATTATTTGGATCTGGCTGGCACGATGCTAATCTTTTTGTAAAGCATTCAAAATCCGCGTATATTACAAATGGGACTCTCATTGAGTGATTGTAATTTTTGAATTTAGGAGTTGTTCCCTTTTTAGGAAGACTCATTTTGATAGCATCTGCGTTCTTACAATACTCTGAGTGTTTATCTAAAGATTCTTGAGATTTGAAAGAGTTTAGACATCTCTCGCAAATGAATCGATAATGTTGATGATTATCAACCTGCCTGCTTACGAGTCGAGACATATTTCTTATCCAGCAATAGTGGTTTTTACTTCCTTCAGAAATAATCATTAAATTAATTATCTTATTTTCACTCTTACTTATTCTAAGCGGATAGACCTCGCCGTTGTATMCAAACACATTGACGCCGTAGGGGTTATTATCCTCAAATATTGAAATATCTTCAACTTTTACTGGAAATTCTAATCCGCTCCAATCGAGATTTTCTGAATCTTCTTTTAGTTTTTTACTAACTTGCTCCAAATCCCTTTTTGATGGATATAAGGCGCGAGTTACAGACCATTTAAAACATTTATTATCCTTATTCTTCATATTGATTATCGCCTTCTTTGGAATTAAATCCTTTGGAAGAGGTAAATAAGATCTTCCAGACATTGGAGTGAACGTATCGATATTAATTTCTAAGCTTAATATTTTCCTGAATATCCATCCAGATCCTGCATTTTGATAATTACTGAAACTTTCTATTATATCTTCTGACCATTTATCGTAAATATTAGAAATGTTAGTAGAATCTGTTATTATTTCTATCTTTGAACGGAAAGTTCCATTTGAATAAACAGTTCCTTCTGGATTTCTTTTATAGAACTCACAAGTTAGAACTATATTAGCTTTAGCTGGCTTTTCTTTCCTATTTATTAAATTTACCACCTTMGACTTATTCCTTTTTAGAAATACATTTGGAGCTATCCTTCCACCCTCGATTTCATAAGTATTTAAGAAACCTCTAATAGCGGTTGCTTTCTTTTTAATTCCAGAAATTCTAGTATAGATTTCAGTTAAATCCTCTCTACTAAGACTAGTAATAGCATCAGTAAGCAGCTGGTATTCATCATTCACGCGACTCATTATATATAACAAATATAAAACTAATTCACAATACGCGAACTTATTAAAATCAACGCTCTATTATTAATTCTCATAGTAGTGGATTTTTTAACAAAAAGCGCGTTTTTTAACAAAAAATCGGTGGCTAGCCGTGTGGGCGGGCGCTAGAAAAGAAAGGAAAAAATTCGCCAGTTTCGGCCTTTATCTACTACTATTATTATCGGAAATCGATAAAAATCGATATTCAGCTTTGCTGTGATTATCGATTTTATCGATTTTTATCGATTTCTTATGTCTTTCACTTTGTACTGAATTTACTTATAAATGATTACGCTGAAGGCGTTATTAACTCTATCATGTTGAAATGTTGAGGTTTATTATTAAAAAACGTTTTTCATTTATCAAAATCAAAACAATTAGAATAAATGCAAAACTGACATGAACAATATCATAATACTTCGAATAACAACAAACTATTGAAACATGGCCTAGCATGTACTGGGTATAGATCTAATAAGATGTCATGTGATCAAAAGAAACACCAGCCGTTATCATAGCAAAACTAACTTTAGCCTGGGGAGTTGAAGAAAGTAGAGAAATCCAAATTCGATACAGTTGAAGAACATAAATAACAAGCATACCCGATAAAACATGAAACAGTATAAGACAAATTTTGCAAATTATAAGATAAAGATTAACATCGATGGACATTTCTAGAATAAATATGGATTTTTTTTAGTACCAATATTCTCTTTTCGCAAATATCCAGTAAAAAAATGAAAAAAAAAGAACTTTTACCAAATTTGTTAAAAATGGTAAAATTAAAAGCACACAAGGGATTTTATTACCAACATTAACATTTTATTTCACATTTTTAATAATTTTACACCTAGTAAAAATTACATGATTTATTACATATTTTACCTCTTTTAAGAAAAAACACTAAGTGACTGGTGAATTTTACCTCTAAAAAGTTACAAGGTAATTGCTGTGTAACTTTTGGCTTGTGGTACAAAATACTAAGTGACTGGCGAATTTTACCTCTAAAAAGTTACACGGTAATTGCTGTGTAACTTTTGGTATAAAATACTAAATACTAATTGTAATTACAAGTGCATTCTTTCTTATTCATTCCTGATGATGAAGTAGCAGTTTGAAAACCTTCTACAGTTCAAATTTCAAATCTATTATTGACCATTGTTATTTGTAATAATTTACAACTTTGATTCACAACTTATATTAATTTATTATAGTCTTTTCTAAAGTTTTCGTAAATGTTTAGCTGACTCTTTTTCTAGTTTTTCATCAACTAGTTTAAATCCAAAATAGATAACACTTCCCTTTGGGATGTTGTTGATAGGCCATCGAGGCCAAGGAACACACTTTTTGTTGTAGCCTCCTTTTAGCCATTGCACTCGAAACTCATCGTCTAGGATTTCCACTACTGAGGCGATGTTCGGAGGCCGATGACCTTCAAGGTTTACAGCAACGAAGTCTCCGATGGATAACTGACTGTAGTCATCAACCTCAATCAATTCGTTGGGTCTTCTGTATGGACCAGTGTACACCTGTTGAATGCACAAAATAACGTCTTTAAATACAGTTAACACCTGCAAATAAGAACCTTATTTTTTGAAAGTATGGCA